TAACAAAATAGAGTATTCTCTTTTTTTGAAGTTGTTACTTTTTATTGTTTATCTCTTCTTTTTCTTGTCGTACTGTTTGTACGTTTTTTCTGATTGCACACACAAATACAAAACAAAAGAAAAACAAACAATCAAACAAATTTTTTGTTGTTGCTGTTGTTGTTGTTTTATGATGTTGCTTCCATAGATGTAGTTGTTGATGTTTGTTGAATGCTTTCTTCAGTATGTTTGCCTTTGGCAGCCAATTTCGATTTTGAACGACGATCTAAAATACGTCGTCGATCACGATCTAATTTTAATTTTGTTATTTGAACCTAAATTAAAATAGAAAAAAAAAAGAAACTAGAATTTCGTTTGTTTTCTTCTTTTGAATTTTAAATTTTACCTTCGATGGATGAATACCAATATGAACAGTATTACCATTAGCTTTTTCACGTGTAATTCGTTCGATATGAACAACAAATTTTTTACGATAAACTTGTGTTACTTTACCTGATGGTTGACCTTTAAAATGACCACGTGTAATCTATTTAAAAATAAAATGAATTTTCATTGTATATAGAAAAAAATAATATAAAATATCAATCGTACGTACTGCTACTTCGTCATCTTTACGGATAGGTATACTTCGTACATTATAACGTCTTCGTAATTCTTTATTTAATGGTGCACTCATTAAACGACGACGAACATGCGATGGTGCAGTGAAATAACGTTTACGAGATTTACGACGTGATGATGAGACAAATCGATTACGTTTCATTGTATGTGTGTGTGTGTGTGTTGATATTTATAATAAATGAATATTAAAAAAAGATTTATTAATCTGTAAAAAAAAGTATATTAAAATTATCATACAAATATAAATATGTTTATTACCAATAGTAAAGAGAAATAAATGGTCAATCATTTTGGTGACTCATTCTCATTTGTAGTTGATTCTTACAATTTAATATTTTGAATTTTATTTTATTTTATTCATTAGAATATAAATATATGAAATTAAGAAAAATTAGTTTATTAGTTAATTATTTAATTATTTTCAAAATGGAATATATAATGCATAAATGCATTATATTAAAATAGTTGCTTAGTAACAATAGAAGAAACCTTGACAAATGGTTATGTAAGGAATAGCTACGCAAAAATGAATGTCAATATGAACATTTGTTAATTTATATTGAGTAGAATATATTGCTTATTATAAATAATTGTTCTCATAAACGTAATTGGAAAAAAAGAAGGTTTTTTCTTTTGTTTTTTTCACCATTTCACATTCGATAATCTGCAAGTATACGTCTGACGTTTTGTAAATCACTCATTCTTTTCAAGTACACTTATTAATAAAAAAAAAATTTTTTTTTTTCTATACATCCTATGTCTTACACATGGACGATTGTTTTCTTCCTTTTTTTCATACAGAGAATCAGAAGCCTAGAGTTGTATATATATGTATTTTTTTTAATTTCCGTTGTTTATACATAATTTTTGATCTAAGATACAAAATGTTAATATAATTGTTCTAATACGCAATAGATATTTCCATTATTATTGAATAAAATTCAAACAAAAAAAAATCGATTCTTTTTCTAGTCAACAAAAAAATAACATACAGTGGTAGTGATTAATTTATTGCTATTTTTATGATAAAGACCAGTTAGTGCTAGAATAAATATTTGAAAAAAACAAAATTATTTTCTTTTCTTTGCAAGATGTCAAAGTAGAAAATCTGATAAAAAGAAAAAGTGTACAACAAACTTCAATGGCTAAAACTCGCCATCATATGCGTTCAATAACTGGATCTACACAAATTAATACATATTCTCCATATGGTAACAATAGAAATGGTGAATTTCCATCATCAAATAGTGATCCATCAGCAGCTAATGTTAATGTATCATTTGGTAAAAATGAAAAAAAAAATTTAACTCCATATGAAAAACTTTTATATGATTTACAATATGATACACATTTTAAAGTAGAAGAAAAAGCTGGTCGACTTATTGGATTTTATCGTATTTACAAAGACATTGGTTTGGGTAATTTTTCACGAGTTAAACTTGGTGTGCATCTACTTGCTAAAGGTGAAAATTGTCTTTCTTTTTTCAGATTTCGTTCTTGAAATTAATCAAGTCTTCTATATCCATTGTACTTGTTTTTGGATTTCAAATACAACTGTTAAATTAATAATATCGAATAGATAAAATGTTTTCTATACGATAATAGCATTTTTTTTTCATTCTGTCCTCGTTTTCTCAGGTATGGTACATCTAATGGAACTAGAACTTTTTGTGTTAAAAAGATTCTATCATAGTCGTTGTAATTGAGAAAGCATTTGAATATAATAATAGGAATTAGTCACGGAAGATTAGTCTTTACATTAAAAAAAAAACTAGGTCTTACATGATTCAATAAAATTCTTTTTTTCTTCTGCTCTTCTAGATAATATAAAATTCCATAGTTGTTTTATTTCAAAGTGAAAAAGTTTACTACAAATTTAACGATGATTTTCGATCACAAAACGAGATATATGTAGGTTTCTACAGGGATATTTCTTCTATCTAATCGTGTACGTATTGTTAAGTTCTATTGCGCACCGTTGAGATCTCAAAAGAGAGCATCACCTTTCCCACAGCTACAATAGAAGCCAATGAAGGTGATGCCATCTATTAAGATCCTGACAATAGACAATAGAACTTCATAGTACATATAAAGGAAGTCTTTCTCCGCAAACCTACATATATCCTTTTCTAGGGTCAAAAACTTGTAATCATCTTCTTACATACAAACTTTCCTTGTACGCTCTTACTCATACCAATAAATAGACCTGTTGCTGCTTGGTGAATAAACCAGTGGAACAATTTCCAAATATCAAAAGTTTCGCTAAAATATTGTATTACGCTTACCAGATTTTCCAAAACGTACCATTGACTCATAAAGTTTCAACGACAATTATTCTTCAGACACACTCACACTAAAGATCGATAAGTTACTTTCTAATGTCTCAGGGATAGTTTCAGTACATTTGATATGACTCTTTCAGAACTACACCAATCGAGAACATTTAAATGAAAATTCTTTTTTGACCAATAAAATGAAATCCGATTAAAAAGTTTATATTTCAAGAGCTCATTTCATTGTTTTACTTAACATAAAAATTTAACGTATTACTAGAATAAAAGAAAATCTTTTGTTTATTTTTTTTTTGTCTTATAGAAGAAGTAGCTATTAAAATTCTTGATAAAACCAAATTAGACAATAAAACTCAACGTTTACTTTTACGTGAAATAACTTCAATGGAAAATTTATATCATCCAAATATAATACGTTTATATGAAGTTATTGAAACACCAAATGCAATTCATATTGTTACTGAATATGCACCCGGTGGTGATCTTTATACACACATAACCTCGGAAGGAAAAATTCCTGAAGATAAAGCTAAACATATATTTGCTCAGATAACTGCTGCTGTTGATCATATGGTATTAAAAAAAAAAGAAGAATTTGATTTGAAATTTTTTTTTTTATAAACTAAAACATAATATTTTATTTTTGTGTTTAGCATAGTAAAAATATTATTCATCGTGATATAAAAAGTGAAAATGTCTTTTTTGTTAAAGAACATCTTATAAAAATCGGTGATTTTGGTTTTAGTACATATTCAGAAAAAAATCAACCATTAACAACATTTTGTGGTAGTCCACCATATGCAGCTCCAGAATTATATCGAGATGAAAATTATATTGGAATTTATGTTGATATATGGGCTATGGGTATAACACTTTTTTTTATGGTTACTGGTTTAATGCCATTTCGAGCTGAAAATATGGGAAAATTAAAAAAATCTATTATTGATGGTCATTATTCTATACCAGGATCTGTTTCATATCAATGTCAAGAACTTATAAGTGAGTATAGCAAAGATTATAAAAATCCTACTAGTTTTTTTTTTTTTTTTATTCAGATGGACTTCTCAATCATGAAATAACTGAACGTTGGTCAATTAAACAAATTCGTTCATGTTCATGGCTTGCTCATCAAAGTTTTCCTAAAGAATTTAATCCATTTTCAATGAATATAAATAATTATTACACATCTTCAAATGTAACTAAAATATCTACATCAATACCAACAAAATCTTCTATTGAATATGAAACATATTTAAGATTACAAAAATTAGGTATTACATCTGAATATTTACAAGTAATGAATAAAAATTCTGATGATAAAAATTTTTCTAATTTTGATATGATTAATGGAACATATAGAATTCTATTACATCGTTTACAAAAACAATCAAATGTTCTTGAACGTGATGATATGTATGCAGAAAAATTCAATGAAGATTTTCCTTCATTACAAAATCATATGATGACTTCATATAGAAGAACCGGTGAACGAAAGAGTAAACAAAATTTAAATCAATCTCAAACACACAATGCCAAAGTATGCATTATATTATAATTTTCATATGTTTCTTTAAATTCTATGCATTTATCTTCCATTTTCAACTGAATATTACAAAAACTCTGTATAGAACTAATAATTTAAGAATATATTTTTTTTTCTTTTTAATTTATTAAAAGTAAATAGAAAAAAGATTAACTACTATGTATATTTATTTTTTTATTCATATGAGAGACTGATTAATAAATGGGTAATTTTAATTCATTGAATAATCAAATGAAAAATTCTTTAACACAGACTCGGTCTGTCTCGATTTATCTTGGTGTTGGTTTTCTAAATTTTATCATCTCATAATAATTCTGTTTGCATATACGGTGATTTCTATACGTCAACGATAGAAGTATGTTGAGTAAAAAAATTATGCAAAGAAAGTATTTCTGTAAAGCAAGAGAATGTAAAAAGATACAATCTGTCATTCAGTTGTATGAAAATGGAAGAACATTTGAAGAGAACGTTGTCGAGAAATAACATATCACGAGGAAAATATTAATTAAAATTTTGAAACGATACAAATTAAATCAAAGATAGTTTAATTAGAAATATAATGAAATTAAAATTAACAAAGGTCAATTCGATGAACATAAGCAAACAGTAATATAACATGAAGAATAAAATTCTTGAAATCTTTATATATGCAGTTTCACTGTTTTTATTATTAAATCGTGCGGTAAAATTAAACAACGTTAATTTAATGTTAATATATATTTGTAAACCAGAACTTAAGTGCTACATATATATTTGTTTAATAAAAGCAATGCTTGGATAGATAAATAGAAACTTCAGTACTAACAAAAAAAAAGACAGTATAATATTGCTGTTATGAGTTTATGATGATGGATGATGATTTAATGGAAATAGACAATATTTGTAAATATTTTAATCACGTATAATACCACAATGATCATAGTAGTGTTTAATTATTTCTTCTTTTTGTATTATTTTGTTCATTGTTCATCGTCGTAACTAAACTTTATTCAATGAGTAATGAATGCTGTTGTTCTATATCTTTTCATTCATGAAATAATGAATTATATAATGAACTGATGTGTTTTGTTGCTTGAATAGACATAACTATTGTCTCTTCTAATCCCAAAAGTCTTACATCATGAAATGTTTCTTTTATTTTTAATGTATTATAAATTTTCACTTTATTGAATACTAAACATAGAGAATAACAATTAAGTATACTATGCATATAATTCATTAAAATAACTATTTCTCTTTGTAAATTCAAATTAGAAATGTATAGGATAAGCCTTTTTTGTACCCTGTATTCTGACTGAGAGAAATAATAATATGCCTACAATGTTTTCTGAAGTACATTTTTTTGAATATTGATTCCACAGCTCATCGAACTTCATCTAAGTGATGAAACTATTAAGACTCGTATTAAACAAGTATATATGTAGCATTTGAGCTCTGCTTTATAGGCATATAATCGTATTAAATTAATGTTGTGTAGTTTTACTAGCCATCTTAAATATCATGTTCAGTGAGAGACGGTAGTCAGGATTAACATATTGATTTCTCACTATTTGAACATAGAAAATTCTTTTAATGCTAACAGATGTTTTAGCATGAATAAACAACATAGTTGTTATAATGTTGTTATCATTGAATTGTTCTTTTCATGTCATTCATATCTCACAAACTTTCATATTTTCTCGTTAAAACTGAAACTTCATAAAATTTCTCCATAAAACGTTATCTAATTTTCTACATTTTAATCTTTATTTAATTTCAATATGATAACAAGAAGTTTTTTTTTTTTTGTTTAATATCGGTTGCTAATCATCAATATAGAACTTCATAAGACATATGTGTATATATATATGTTTTGACTAGAGTTATATAGATAAGAAAAAAAAAAACAAAATGATCTAATTAAGTTTCATACACTATCAACAAACTAATATTTTATACAATAAAAAAAAAAAAGAGATCCGAAAACAAAATAGTCTGATTTTTTTGTTTCTAATAACTTTGCATATGCATTATTTCATATTCTTTATTATCTGAACGTGATGAACCAATTGTACAACAAATACAACATGATAATAATAAACAAATAAATGTTGTTAATGCTGCACCACATCCTAACCAAAAACTTAAACCAAAAAATTCTAAATTTTGTAATGTTGGATTTCTTTCATATATCATTATATTTAATGGAGAATTTTTTTCATAATCTAATAATATTTCTTTTTTCCATATCCATATAAAAACAAATGATAATAAACCAATACAAATAGATAAACATGATAATAATATCCATAAATTATAGAAATAAAATGGTACAGATCGATATTTATGATGACAACAAGCAATAAAAAATAATGATATTATAGAAAGAAAAATAAATATTAATCCACTTGTAATACCATAGAAAACACATAATTGTAAATAATAAATTAAATTAAGATATATAATACGTTGATTTGGATATGGATATAATTCTAATAATGATGAATCAATTTTTGGTGGATAAATATTAAATGGATTAAAATATTTTTCTTCACATAAACGATTATTATGATAAAAATTTCGTTGTTTATTTGATGTATTATTATTATCAATACAATTTAATTCATCACGAAAATCAGAACAATCAACAATATTATCACAACGATGTTTTGGTAGAAAACCTATAGATAATATCAATATCAATAATTATATATATAAAGCAGAGAAAGAATGTTAGATTTTCTTTTGATTAACTCAAATAAAATTTACATCAAATCTCTTTTACTTTGTTAAATCGAATATGTTCTATCTAAATAGTCCATCTTTATACCTTATTGGATGAGTATCTTGAAAAGTTTTATCATAGATTTTCTATTATGACTCAATATATAGCATAAACATTTATCGTACTTGAAAATCTGTCGCTGTCGCAATGTTTTTCAAGAATTTCTTCAAAAATCACTTTCGTCACGGTGCTGAATTAGTATAACTAGATTGAATCCATCAAATTCACAATGATTCTGTCTGTTGAACTTGTAGACATTCAAATCAGGTGTAAATCTATGCAATTTTTATAATCTCTATCAAAAAAAAAAAGCAGCTGCTAATGCCACGATAGTAGTTTTAAAACATCTTCCACGGTGTCATCAATATCTCTGGTGTAATGCAGAAAATATCGTAAAACTTTGATTGTATTAGTAGGAAAATCAATTTTTTGAATTAAACTCACAGCTCATTACTATTAGATAATAAAAAACATTCATCATATATAATTGATTTCTGATTGAGAAAAACATTCTTATTTATACAAATGATACATGCCAGAGTAGAATGTTTATATATATATACACCATTAAAGATTATTGTAATCTATCTAAAAATGATTTTTTTCAGCAGTGAATACTGTTTTATTTCCAAACAGAAAAGTTTTCGTAAAGCAAAATTATATTATAATATGTATACATTTACTCATGTTTGTATTTATTTTTTATATTCTTTGTTATGTTTATTTTTTGTTTGATTATTACTATTCTCATTAGTTACCATACTCCATTCATCATTCGTACATTTCTTTATGACTAATATATTTAGTTATTTAATTGTTTATATATTCATCTATTTTTTGTTTACTTTTCTCGCATTAATTATCATATTCTCTTTTTGATTAATTATGTATTCAATTCATTTTATCATCTGCTATCTTTTTGTAACACTTGGGATTGTATCTCAGGGGGATTTATACAAATTCTCAGATTTACCTTTTGACAGTATATTAAATAATCAGACTGTATTAGAAATAAGATAATACCCTAGAGATAATCTTCTTGTCGTATATCTTGACTTCATTTCCATTCTATTTTTTTTTGTCCTTACATAATTTCTAGTACAATTTTAATTTGATATTAAAACACAAGTCTCGGAAAACATATTTTTACTTACATTTTGAATCACATAAGAAAGCATTTGTATATTCATTACATTGTTGACAATTTTCTTCATCTGAATTATCTTCACAATCAACAATACCATCACATCTTAAATAAAATAATTAACTCAATTTATTTGTTATTAATTCAAATATATATATAAATAAATTAATACCTATAAGAATTTTCTCGTCGAGCACATTTTTGTGCATAAGAACAATATACATGTTTATTTAAATGACATTTTTCTTCATTACAATTTTCTTCATCTGAATTATCTATACAATTTGATATACCATCTATAAATTAAAACAATAAAAATAAAATTTATATATATATATATTTTAATTTAACATACCACATGTTTGTTCATCTTTTCGATAACAAGTTTTTCTATCAAGACATTCTATATAATCTGTTGGACAATTCAATATTGGAAAATTTATGTCACATAATAATTCATCATTTTTATTTTCACAATCAATAATACGATTACATTGTTTTTCTTGATCAATACAATGTTTTAATGGATTTGAAATAATTGTATTTGTTTGACAACTAAATTGATCATTTGAACAATTTTCATACGATAATTTTAATTGATTTTGATAAAAAATTTCATTTCGAAAATCAAATGAATTTGAAACAAGAACTTTAATATTTCGATATGTAAGACATTCATTTAATATACCACGTGAAATTATTATAGGAATTAATATTGAATAAAATCGAACATCATTTGAAATATTTAATGAATTTTCTTGAGGAATATTCTTAAATATTTACAAGAAATTAAAATTAAAAAATAAAAAAATCTATCATTTGAAATATTACTTGTTCCAATGAAATCATCCACCAACTTGTACCAAATGCAACTCCAAGTAAACCAAGAGCAATTAATGATGGAATAAGAAGTAGAAATAAACGTGTACAATGATTCATAATGAATCTAAAATAAAAACAAAAAAAATTACTAACTTTATATTCACACGATCATTGTCATTTGTCTGATATTCTTCATCATTCAAAATGAAACAACATCAAATAGAAATAAAAATCAAACTACATAGTGTAAAGAGAAGGTGTTAGGACAGTCGACATGTAACA